ATAAATCACATGTCATGGGAGTATTAAATATTTTCACATTGCAAGTTTCTCTAAAAATTGTTTGTTTTCTTATAATCTAACTTAAAGTAGGTATGCTGAGAGGTATGCACAAGTTTTGTCATTAGAAGTATAAAAGCTTCAATTTAATTTCAACCATATTCAACAATTATTTAGTATACCTATATTTATTTATGACCATATTAACACACTCTTCCAAATAATCCACTTATTTATTTTGGTCAAAATAGATTTTTCTAACCTTAAAATACAAAATTAGGTGAAATTTTTTGTTCTAATACATTAACCTACCTTTGATACAGATATTCTTATTTCATAATAGAAAAGATTTTTTTAATAAATGCTGTTTAGTTAAAACTATTTTATGGAGAAATGTAGACCCAATGCACAAAAATATCACTTATATTGCACCTTACACTTTGGAATTTCATTAAATGCAGTATTTATATTGCTAAATTCTTAAACCAACCATTGTTATTGTGATACTATAAAGATTTATTAACTTTTAACGCTTAAACATAATCGGTAACACTATAAATATTATTTCTTTCATTGACTATACTTTGACAGATACATAACCTGAAAAGCCTTAAATGCCAAATTTTCAAAAGACTGCGTTCCGTACGTGGTCACGTGGTGGAACTTTGAGGTGTGGAGCATAGTACATCCTTATTTTTTTATTTGAACTTCTTTTATTAAATAGGCTGAAGTATTAAATTTTTTACAATAACTAAATAAATATTTTTTTAAAATTTTCAATCACTGTGCTTGAATCTTGTGCTGAAAACTTTCAGACACAGAGCGCACTCACACACAGCTAGCTATGTGTGGTAAAGAACATAAGGAAGTTTAAATCGACTGAGCGACAGACTCGATAACGGTACGCGTCCGGTGTCTGAAGGGTCTCGTATAGTCGTCGTCGATGTCATCCGTGGATTTCCAACTATTTTTGCCGCCCCCGGCCTCGCTGTCTCCCCCCGGTCGACCGCTCCCTTACAAACCAATGGCAAATAATAGGGATAGCGGTAGACGGCAGTCGATTTAGAAACGATTTTTCAGCGATTAATTTTGCCGGTGGCGGTTTTTAGCTGAGGGGGCAGATTGTTAATGAAAGTTATACTAGGCATACGAATTTTAACTTACACAGAATTTTAGTTATAGTTAAAATTAAATTTTTTATGTCTATTTTATCGCGGTTTTGAATACATATGTGGTATAGGTAATTATTACATTACAAATTTTCATATTCGGTACAACAGTTAAGATATTCAGAATGCACGCAGTTTATATTGATTTTATTCTACGCAGTCACAGTACAGTGCGGTTCGTATACAATATTCAACTATACCAATAATCAACAAAAATAATTGTTTTTATTAATAATTAATATTTAATAATATAATTGTTTATGTTGATTAAATGTAATTTGTACATTTGGGGTAGAAATTAGTTTTAAATCAAAACCAGGGTAATAAATTAAATAAATAAATTATGGAAATTCATTATCATATTTAAATCCATATAAAATTATTTAAAATGAAAAAAATCGTAATAAAAATGTATGTACGCGGAATAAGAAAATTGAAGACCAAAAATTGTTTTACGAGGAAAAGTACCACTACCCTTTTTTAAATATTACCTTTTTTATGAAATTATTTCATTATTTCGTTTTTTACAAATGTCAGTTTTATAGTAAAAAATCATTTTTTTGAGAAATGTTTTCATGACAATAAATATTCTTTTAAATATTGACGGGCTAAAGTTAGCAACAGGTTTTTAGTCACGGGCTGAAGGTAGCTTTAAGTAAGTTGACAGTTATCAAATGTCAATTAATCGTCAAAGTAATAAAATAAAACTAAATATAAAAATTGTGTTATTATCTCAATACAAAAATGCGAAAGTAAGCATTTATAGAGTTTGGGAATGTAAATGTTATAGACTTTGGGAAGGTAAACGTCAGTTTTTAATTAAACGTGATTTTTTTTTTAATTTTCTTAAAGGAAAAGAAAATCTTGCAATTTTCTTTATCAGTTTAAATTTTTTCTTAAGCTAGCGGAATGTTTCCACTTATTAAACTATTTTGGCAATAGTTTTTGTTTTTAATTTTAATTTTAAATACTATTAAAGGCTTTATGATATAATAATCTTATTCCTGTATTAACGCATTTGCGTGCAGAAAAGTAAAACTTTGCGCACGCGAGTAGAAAAAAGATTCTTACTGTAAATAAAATACCATGGTACTTAGTACCATGATAAAATACAGTATGCTAGTCTGAGACAGCGGCGAGGAACTACCCTTATAAATGCTTCCTTAAAAAGTAACGTATTGCAGCAAAAATTAGACATAGCCTTACGCGTACGGAATATTTTATTGACAACGCACGTATACCTTTTTTGTATATTGTGTTTTTCGACCTATCGACGTTTAAATAGTAGACCAAAAACGAAAAGGCGAAAAGAAGATTGCCACATAAATCAGGATTATTTTTGTCTACTGCGCTCTACGTGCCGACCGGCATTACAAGATTTATCGCGAATTAATAATTGAACGATTAAACAAATGCTAAGCAAACGTTTATTTTTATTTTTAGTACGTGCGACTTCAATTCAGTTGGGGGTTTTGGATTCAATTTTTGCACGATTCCACATATCGATGAAGTTCATAAATAATGTATAATTTAAATTGCGGCTATCTACTGTTTTTTTTTCAAACTTAATGAGACCTAGTGCATTTTTAAAATTTTATGAAAATTATTTTGATTTATGGAGTATGTATGTAGATTGCAGTGACATATCCGTAAACAGTAGAGTAACAAGTATGTATGTAGATTGCATAATGTGCAGTGTCATATCCGTAAACAGTGGGTATTTCCATTGTAACGGGTGCGACACTAAAACTGCGTTTTTTCATGATAATAAAGTGTTTGTTCATATATTTCAAGATACGTTAATATAAAAAAATAGTATTAGGTAATTAACTCAAACAAAATGTCAATAAAAACTTCTATAGAAAACCTTTTATAACGTCATGAACAGCGTAACGGGCGCGAACTTAAAAAATCGGCAAATGCGACCAAGTTGGCTTCTAAAGTTGATACTGTAAAATTTTGGATAAAGGCATATAGTAATAATTTTGTGTGTAAAACTTTAAATGCACAAAAATTGCAAACTTTATTTTATAAAATTTTCTCAAATTGTAACGGGTGCGACATTTGAACATTTTATCGAGTATTAAAACTCTTCCGTATTTATTCTTAATGTTAGTTTCTTAGCATCACAATGTACGAATATTTTCAGGTTATAAATTACGTCACAATTAAACTATTTGACTTAAGATATAGTTGTTATTTTGCTAAATAACACATCTTATTTTTTGTCAAGGTGGGGTAAGGTTTCGTGGAAATACCCCAGTATTAATTTATCTGTTGCTTTTATCATTACCATATACAAAAGCTTTTCTTCTATTTCAAAGATTTTTGTTAAAAAACGTACATTTTGATACCAAAGTTTTGAAGAAAAGTAAGTTAAAATAAATTTTCAAAATACTTTAGGGGTGGACTTCCTCCAGGTAATTTTTGTACTGTTGCACTGTGATATCTGTCATGTTTTTTTTTTTATTAAAAAACGATTTTGAAAAAGTGGGTAGAAATAGCATAAACTAAACAATTTACTGCAAGTCTAAAAATATTTTTTTAAATTTCATAGAATAATTTATTTAAGTAGGTAGGTACTACTTAGTAGTAACTACTATATTTTTTACATAATATATGTAAGCCACTGACATTTTTACTTTATCAACCAAAATTGCATAGAAAATTTTCATAATACAGAATATTTTACCATAAATAGTTTAATTATTTAATAATAATTATTATAATGTGGATTGTTTCGCATCAAGGAAATGTTTTAATTAAAATTTATAAACATTATAAATGAAATGAAATGAGTTACATTGTTGCTTTGACATTTTGAGACATTTGCTTTAATACATAAAATTCCTGTATATTTTTTGTCACTGATAATCAAATTTTAAAATGTTGTGTATTGTTGTTCAAAGGACCAAAAATGTGTATTGTGACCAAAATGTTGTGTGTTGTTTTAAGAACCAAAAATGTTGTATATTGTTGCTCGAAGTTAATTAAAAACACAATGGGTGTTTAAATTGTATGTAATTACACATTCTTTAACTAAAGATTTTAACTGATGTGGCAAAGAATAATATTGATTCAATACTTGTTATTTCTTGGCTTGTTACTTAGTACCCTTGCTAAGGATTGGCCTAACTCTAACTTAAGTACCTAATTAAATTATAATTATAAAATGTACTTTAGTTTCAACAAATGTTATGGAATTTTGTAAATTATAAAATACCTGTATATTGTGTCACTGCCAATCAAATTTTAAAATGATGTTATGGAATTTTGTAAATATATAAAATCTTATACGATTTATGCCGTAACAGTCGCTGTGTCCCGAATTTCTAACACATCTGTACATAACTTAATTTACTTTCTGATATTTTAAAATTTCAAACCAGATCATAAACTATCAATATTTATTGATATTTATTTGTAAACCGCAAAAATGCAAATGTGTGCCCGGATCAGGTTGCCAATGAAAAAACTCTTGTATTATGTACTTCTACGAAAACAAATCATTGTTTATAAAAACTTGTGCTCATTTAAAAAATGAGATGCCCATTTAACTTTTTAAACTCAAATTTTACAGTAATTTTTGAGCATATTTTATCTAATTTTTTAAACATTTCGAAATTTTTATAAACATTGATTTTTTAAAACTTGTTTTCTTAATTTCTGAGCAACTTGTGCAAGTGATTCATTATTTTTTTAAGAATAAACTTTCGTAAAACGCATATTAAAAACAATTTCTTATTGGCAAGGACTTTTTATGAAGAATAGACTTTTTCCTACCAATCCGGGGACACACAATAAGTTCAATTTATAATTATGAGTCTTTTTCAGGGACAAGCTATCGTCCAACTGGCCAAAACCGTTCCAAACGTGACGACTTTCGGCGTGTGCTCCAAGAGCAAGCACGAGGCCCTTAAGACCGCCAACTCTCCCATCGACCATCTTTTGGAAAGAGGAAGTGACTACGTCAGCGAGATCCGCAAGGTTTCTCCCGATGGAGTGGATATCGTGCTCGATTGCCTCTGCGGCGAAGAATGCAACAAAGGCTATGCTATCCTTAAACCGATGGGCAAATACATTTTGTACGGCTCGTCCAATGTGGTCACCGGAGAGACCAAGAGTTTCTTTAGCGCAGCCCGTTCGGTAAGAATTACATTACACTAGTTTACAGCCATTTTGCCCACCATGTCTATGATTTTCTTGTGTAGTTTGGCTCACTAAACGCGAAATTTTTTTTCATGGAAGCGTTTGTGAGATATTTTAATTTTCTGAGGTGTTTCGACGTTTTAGAGTATACTTCGAGTTCTAATTGATCGATTTGACCAAACAAGCACTTAAATCAAAGGTAATTGAGCCCCCTACAACTTTCTCTTGTATAGTTTTGGTATCGGCTCAGTAGTTCGATACTGGCGATTTTATGAAGTTGAAAAGTCCTTTTTTTTACAAAAATCGAGGTCGAAAATTTACATATCTTTCTGAGAAAGATAGAAATCGAAAAGATAATTCAAGTTTGATTTATTTTACCTATAGATTATACCTAAAGGAAAAAAATAAGCTGCTGTTTATAAAAATCCATAGATAAATGGCGAAGTTATGAATTTTTCAGTGTAAGACCAAAATTCAGTTTTTCTAGAATTTTTACGTTTTAATATTGAACATTGATTTTTATTTTAAACATTAAATATTAAAATTAAATTATATATTGAAAATTACAATAAATATTGAAAATTGAAGAAATTATAAGTTTTATTTTGTTTAAAAAAATTCTTGCTGCTTCTTTGTTTTTTGTTGCTTTCGTATTCCGTTTCTCGTATGAGGGACCAAATGTAATCACCCATCATGGCTGCATCACAGAATCCGTGATACCGCCGCTTCATAGCCTTCATTTGCTGGTGAAAACGTTCTCCATGCTCATCACTTACGTCGCCCAGATTTTGCGGGTTATTTACGCACTCGAACTCTACTTTTTTTACTAATTTTACACTTTTTATTAACCATGATAAAAATACCTTGTTGAAATATCAAAAAATATCAGTAAAATGTCACTATGCCAACACGAGAAACAAAAGAATTCACGTTTTCAATTTTGAATAATGTTTTCGGTGAAAAAAGTTCGTAAAAAACTCAAAAAAATCCAATCATGCACTTTATTTAGGTTTTCATTAAAGAATAAACATATTACAAAATAAAAGAAAAATCGCCAAAAAGCTGAATTTTGGTCTTTCGCTAAAAAATTCATAACTTCGCCATTTTTCCATGTATTTTTATCAACATGTTGCATTAGCTTGTTTTTTTGTAAAACGTCAGCTTCACGAAAAAAATTCAAACTGGAGTTATCTGTTTGATTTAAATCTTTCCCAGGACAATATGTAAATTTCCGTCCTCAATTTTTGCCATAAAAACGAATTTTTTAAGTTATTAAAATCGCTAGCGTCAAAATACTTATCCGATATCAAAAGTATTTAAAATAAAGTTTTAGAGGGCTTAAATACCTTCAATTTAAGGGCTTGTTTGACAAAATCGATCAATTAGATTTCAAGCTATACTCAAAAACGTCAAAACACCTCTTAAAATTGAAAAAAAAAACAATTGAAAATTCATATTTCAAAAACGCTTCCATAAAAAAAAATTGAGTGTGATTTTCGTGTTTAGTGGGTCAAAATACAAGGAAAAATTATAATGGGATATGGTGGGCTGAATTTTTTTTCGATTTTGTAAACTAGTTCATTTTAAAATTTTCTTGAAACCAAAAAAAAATGTTTTTTAAACGTCAGTAAAATAATACTTTTTTTGATATTTCACAGAATGTTAAAGCTGAGAAGTAAGTATTTTTGTGCTGACTTCAAAGTTTGAATGCCGACGCGTAGCGGTGGCCTACAATTGATCAAAGCACAAAAAGAAACTTCTCTTCAAGGCATAAGTTTAATTGTGCATAAATAAAACGTACAATTATTATAATTGTAAATAATAATTATTAAAATTAGAAAGTGAGGTAGATATGACAAATCAAATGTTCCAAAACCTTGGTTCTCTGGTAAAAAAGTACTCTAAATACACTCTACCATTCTTAACATACCTTTGGGTTACACAGGACATTGCTTTTATGTTTCAGTTACATACTGCTGTTGACTAAGTTCTCGTTCTTTTTTTAGTGGTGGCAGGTTGACAAAGTTTCTCCATTAAAACTTTTCGATGAGAACCGTACTCTGTCAGGCTTTAACCTGAGAAGATTGATGTACGCGCAGAATGGAGCTGACTACGTACAAAAAACCGTTCAGGAAGTCTTCAAGCTGTTCCAGGACGGCAAAATCAAGCCACTTCTCGACTCAACCTGGGCTTTGGAAGACGTAAGTAGAAACTATTTTATGTGCAGTTTTTTTTAGTGAGAAAAAAAATTATCTAAACCCTTCTAAATTATAGGTAAGTAATTTATTTGCTGCATATTTTATATATATATATATATATATATTTTTGCGAAGCTAATATATTCTGGTATATGATTGTAATATAAAGAAATTATTTTTTAATAATAACACTAAATTTACTTAATGTATAGGTTGCTGAAGCAATGCAAAAAATGCACGACCGCAAGAATGTCGGCAAGATCATTTTAGACCCAAGTTTAGAGCCAAAACCGAAACCGGCCACTCCAGCCAAGGGCAAGGACAAGAAGAAGCAATCTTCTGAAGAAAAGAAAGACAGCAGTGAAGAAAAGAAGGAGGAGGAGAAGAAAGAGGAGAAGAAGGAGGAGGCAATGACTAATGGAGATTCCGCTGGAGAATCCGGTAAGTCGTCTTAAGAATAACTTTTTTGATTATTTACCTTACCTTTTATTTATTTAAAAAAAATTGTAGCATTAACGCTGGTCAACAAAAAACATCCACAATTCGTTCATTTCAACATACCATTAATTTTTTTTAATTAACATTGTTAAATAACTTGAGGATTTAACATTTTTTGCAATAAACAGCTCAAAAAATCCAGGCAAAGCAATGTGGGTATTATTTGTTTTCAACTGTTGTACTTTTTATTTAGGTACAATTGGGTGATTCGTTTTGAAGGAACATTTATTTTTTGTCGCTCCCCAAGCAAAATATTGATGCACATATCGAGAGAAAAAATTCCCCTCAAGTTTCAGCTCTTAACCTTACTACTTTTCCATTGAAATAATATGGGAATTTTCTAGAGATGGGAATCGGAAAGTTTCCATTTTAAGGAAACTTTCCATTTTGGAAAGTTTCCAATTGGGAATTTATTTTCATTTTGAAAGTTTCTTTTAAGCTACCGGAAACATTCCTTGGAAACATTCCTTGGAAACTTTCCTTGTTTTTTTCATTTAAATGTCAATTGTTTAACTGCTGATTTTCGTTAAGGCCAAGAAACTTTGAATAAGAATTTAATTTGTGTTAATTTAAAGCAGAAGAAGTATAAATAATGTAAGTTACGTTACATAACCTCAATGAAGCCAGATTATTCAGCATAAACACAAAAAACTTTTTTAAAAAAAGGTAAACAAAATAAAAACAATAAACAAAGTTAAAATCATTCTTACATTTTTGTTGTTTATTTATAGGCATAGCACAATGCCAAGAGAAAAATCTAGTGTTTGGAATTATTACAAAATAGTGCAAAAAAACAAAAAAGACCATGCTCAAAGCAAGTTCTGTAGGAAAATCTATGTCGTTAATGCAACCAAAAATTTGACAAAAAGTTAATGTGTTATTTATTTTTGCAAATCCCTGGCATAAAAAAAATATTTTCACAATAAAAATTTTTTTTTTGAAACTTTCGGAAAATTTCGGGAATTTTCGATGGAAAGTTTCCGGGAATTTTCGACAAATGGGAATTTTCCCATCTCTAGAATTTTCTATAAAAAAGATTGTATGCATTAAGCCATTGAGCATTTAATAAATTTAACAATTTAACTGTGAAATTTTACTGTTCTGGTGTAAAATGCAAAAATAATGTTTTCTTTATACCTTGTTCGAAAGTACAAGTACAAGTAAGTTTACTTTTGTCCCTAATAGCAGGGACAAAAGTTTAACATTTACTCCCTGTGCTATTAGGGACGAAAGGGCTAAAACTGTAACAAAAAATAAAAGTTCCTTCAAAACTAATTACCCTAAAATTCATACAAGAGCCCTAATTCCAAAAAGCTTTACATTGTTTAAAGATGTATTTGCTGACCAGTGTAATTTAAACCTGGGTTGTTTTTTATTTTCTTTTTTGTTTTTAGAGTCTAAGGGTAAAGAAAATTCGAGTTGAATTAGTTAATTCGCCGCGTCCATCTCCTCTTAAGTGTATCAATTTTATTTTATCGTAATTTAAATAGTTTGGCTTAATTATATTTTAATGAATTGAATTTGCACTTCTTCCAGTGAAATAACTAACAAACTAAATTATTTTTAATTTTGATTTATTATTGCCGATCTCAAATTATTCACGTTGACCATATTTACGGAGCTGTGTTATTTTTCTTTAAGATAGTAGGTTTAGATTTTAAGGAAGTAAAGTCTGTAAAGTGACCAAATGATTTTTTTTAACATTTTACGTAATTTAACTACTTATAAATATGTATAAATTTTCAGATAGTTATTGTTTTTTAAAAGTTTGATTCTATATTTTGTGTTTGTTTTTGTCGGTGCTATTTTGAAAATCCTAGAATATTGTACTGTTAATTTTCAAAGGGCCTTTTTGTTAATTTTTAAGTGGTTAAGTCAAATTTAATTTTAGGAAAATCAAAACACATATCCGTGTGTATCAGACCAAAATATTTAGGTAGCGTTTTTATATAAACTATTTTTTCATGCTTAGTTAAGATTTATATAAAATAATCCTTGAACTTGCTATTTTTGCTATAATACCATATATTGGACTTTGCATATCTTAGACCGAATTGTAATCCACTTGTGAGTAACTTTTTCTTACAGGAAAAATGCCTTTAATTACTTACTTTGAGCTAAACTACATCCTTCAGTATTAGGGGCACTTTTTCTTACAGGTATTTCACACATCACATTGAGCACAATTAATTTTTTTCAAAATTTTACAAAGGTACAACGTGGATTGACTTTGATTATTTTCTAAAATCACCCTATATTTAAAGAATCTCATAACGTTTTTGATGTTTATTATTAAATATACAAGGTCGTATCTCTATAAAAGACCTGTATTTTATATAGTGTGTAAGAAAAATTGCAGTTACTTATGAGATTATTTTATCAAAAAATGTTTACCAATTGCTTAAATGTCTATTATCAATTAAATGTGAAATTTTGTGCGATATAATATTATATTTTTCGTAAGGGGTGTTGAAAGATATAAACAAACATCAAATTTAAATTCGGTGTTTAATTATATTTAAGGAAAATTGTATAACCACTATTTGGAAACGCTAGAAGAATGTTACATTGCTATTCATTGCTTCTAAATTATTAAGTGTAAAGACTGATGTGTTATGCTATGCATATTGTTTGTTTATAAGCCTGTATTATAATAAATTGTATGAATGCTTAACGAAATGTTTTACTTAAATCCCCCACAAAATCACCAGTATTTAATAATATTAATATATTCAATACCTTTTTTAGTTTTATTCTTTGATTATATAATAGTATATTCTGTAACAAGTTTGGAATACGGCATATTCCGCTCGAGCGAAAAGTTTGTCACACGAGCCGAAGGCGAGTTTGACGGTTTCACGAGAGGGGAATATGCAATTCCAAACGTGTTTCAGACTATACTTTTTCTACGTTTTCAAAAAATACCATGGACAAATAATTTAATTGGAAGAAAGTGAGGTTGGATCGGTCTAAAATTTGTTAGATATTAAAAACAGAGATGTCGCCATGAGTGTTTATTCTGTCATCAGATGATAAATTATTTAATTCTGTAACACTATGGAATATGTCATTCCATAGATAAAAGTGATATTAGAACGGTCAAATTTCATAATAGGAGTAGAAAAAGATTTTTCTATTATTCATAGATATAGAATAAATCTTGAAAAACTTCTTAAAATTGTTTTTGGCCCAACAAAGTTAACAAAGAAAAGGTAAGTCAATTACAACCATTATTAAAACCTTTATTAAGGTTCACATGAACTGTGATTATAACTTTTGATGACAGTTGGTGTCAATTTATAAAATGAGAGGAATAAATAAAAAGTTAGATAAATGCCCAGGGCCAAGCCAGAGTCTGGGCATCAAAAAGGAAGTAAGACAAAAAATAGAAGAAAATGCAAATCTCCTTGGTGGTTGTGCATATAAACCTCAAATTGGCCATCCGATCATAAAATACGATCCCTTTTTTGCTAATTTTTGTAAAGATGAAGTTCCTGAAGCCTCTGAGGTGTTTGTTGATAGTATTGTGAGAGACGCAGAAGGTAAATAAGATAAGAGATAGTTTTTTTGCTGAAATTTTTAGTAAATTTGTACAAGCTGGGTTAAAAAAACTTAATTTTGGAAAAGCAACCAACTAATTAAAAAAGCTCTAAAAAATGTTCCACCATCATAAAGTTATTGCGAACATTTATATTAATTTTAAACGCGTTGGTCAGTTAGTTAATACAATTTACCTAAGTGTTCGCTGGTTTTTGTATAACTGGGTCACAGAGTAGAACTATGAACTGGGTTTAGTTATACCAGTTTCTTTTAGTTTTGTATTACAAATTATAAATAAGTTAATTGGTTTCAGGAGTTATGGGTCTTATAAAGGAAAACATTGATAAGAAAAAACAATCGGTAATATAATACCGTCCTGAAAATGGCGCACTAATAACTCCCCTGTCGCGTGTTATAGTGTTAGCGCCACTTTGGACACTTATTAAATATTTTTTCATTTCATTTTTTTTTAGTATGAAAGAGGTGAAATATTAAGAAACCAACGCCAAATCTAAAATAAAATAGTTAGGATATGGAGACTTTTGTTTTATTTAAAAAGTAAGAGTTTTATAAAGTTCTAATTTACAATCCAGTATAATATTTAACCAAAATTCTCTAAACTGGTCGACTTTTGCGTTTCTTATCAGAGACATATTTTCGAAATGATAATAAACCTGAGAGAAAAATAGTTTTCGTTAACAAATTTTATGGGGAAATAATAGTACATTAAAGACCAGGCAGAGAAAGCTCGTATTATAGCCGAGGAAATAAATAAGCTTTCGCCGCCAAGTTTTGTATAGGTACTATTTTTTTAAAAGCATTAATTAAGAATCTTTAAGATTCTGTCATCATTTTTAGGTTGACATGATGATATTTAAACTTTAATTTTGAAAGATGTTTATAATAATTAAACTTTTATTATGAATGCTTTCCCATAAAGACTTATAATATTATTAAAAAAATAACTTACATCAACACAACAATCTCCATGCTTTAGTTTGGAAGCTTCCAAATAGAAAAATACAGATGAATAGGCTTGAACTATAGGATATTCGTTGGTGGGTAAAGAAAATATCACCTTAAAATTATTAGGCATTATTTGAGAAGGATGTCTTGAAAATAAGTGTACAATGAAACACCGGTACTATTGGGTTAAATTAAAACAATTTCCAACTATTACAAGAGAATTGTTAGCCCTCTAGCGGATAAACGAATTCGTTACTTGAGTTTAGCTAAGATGGGTTAAATCAACTTATTTCGTTGTACACGTATATTTTGGACATCCTGTATAATAAAAAAGATTTGTTTGCTACTTCATATTGGTATTCTATATTACAAGGACCCTCGATTTTCTTTAGAAAAAACACTTTATATTGCCATGCCTCTCTCATTTTCAGTGAATTTATATAATTTTCTATAGCTTCTTGACCAGCTTTATAATCCATTTTGTATACAAGTGGCCAAGTCCAACTTGTTTGTATATTTGTACTGCTTTTAATAGATGGTGAACTTTCAAGGGATGTTCTGGATTTTGCAAGAACTAAATATAAACACGTTTTTAACAATAGATGTATTGTTAAAAAGTATTTGGGATGTTTAGTTTGCGGCTGTTACATATTACGTCACGCTCTATAGGGGGAGGGGTCGGACGATTTGTGACGAGGGGTGGAGGGGTCATTAACTATATGACGTCACGTTAGGCTTAAAGAAATATTCATTTAAATTTTCGGATAAAATTTGAAGTTGTGACGCCTGTAGCCCACTGATAGTTGGCGGGGGAGGAGAACAGGAAAAGGTCAAAGATCGCGTGAAGTAAAATGTAAACGGCCCCTTTGCAAATAAATATATATTTTTACCAAAAGCTTCTTTAACAAATCTCTTCACCATTTTCTGCGCAAAATTAACTTTATCCAGGTACAATTTACATTCATCCAATCCTTTATCTCCTACCACAAATACCTTTTCTATGTCTTCTTCATTTTCTTCTTCGGTTTCTTTCTTCCCAAATTTTATGACTTTAGGCTCCTCTTTTTCTTCTGTTATGTTCATATCATTGTCTTCCGACTGTACCATCACAACCGCTTTTTTTACTTTTATTTGAGATGAGCTTTTTGTAAAAGATTCCATTTTTGTATTAAAATGTAGATTTTAATTTTGGTTATTTGACGTTTTCTTATAAAAATTGTATGGTTATCAATGATAACCATGATGCATCATGATAACTTATCATACAGTTCATTTTTTTATCTGGACTCGTGTTTTGTTGTTAGGTTGGTGGCTAATGCCAGTTTGACTTAGTATTTTTAGTATTTAAAAATGGTACTTCTGCTAAAGAATTTAATTAAATACTTTGACACTGTCAAATTGACAATAATATTTATTATTGATAATTTACTTGTAAATTATAAATAAAAAGATAATTATGCCAAAAATAATAGCAACGAATTCGAATGTAAAAGCCCTTTTGAGGGCAAAACTTTATTTTGATAAAATTATGCCAAATACCACAATGGAAGAAAAAGTACCTTATGGACATTCTTGGAGTAAAAAAGTAACGAATTTGGTTTTATAAATATTACATCACACATTATTTTCACATTAAGGCCGATTCTCATCTAAGCAGGGCAGAGCAGAGCGGCGCGGAGCAGGGCAGCGCAGCGCGGCGCAACATTCTGCTATAGCGATTCTCATCTAGGCAGCATCAAGCAGCGCGGCGCGCAGCATTTTGTAAACCTACCTTATAAATAAATATAATAAATAAGTACCTATATAAATGAGAACTCACCACTTTCATTAATTTTCTTCCCTATTTCTCCCCAAATAATCTCCCGTCTATTTTGGTTGCTGTAATTTTTATTTGACATATCGTACAGTTCTTCATACTCATTTACGAGTAAAATTAATTTTTCAATTTTTTCCCCGTCCATATTAATTCTCTAACTCAAAAGATTTAAATAATAAAGAAATAAATAAATGCAAAATGCAATAAATGCAAAACAAACTTTGTTTTTTTCAAATCGCAGCGCAGCGCCGCGCCGCTTTGCTACGCTTCTCGATTCCCACTTGTCCGTCAACAGGCAGAAGAGCGCGTTTCAAAGCATCAGTGCCGCTAGTCAATGCTTTCGAACGCGTTAAGGCCGATTCTCATCTAAGCAGGGCAGAGCAGAGCGGCGCGGAGCAGGGCAGCGCGGCAAAATGCTGCTCTCAATTGTTTACATGTAATTAAGTGGTCCCGTCCTCACCTAGGCATAGCGGCGCAGAGCCGAGCGTCGCGGTACAATGCAGAAAATTTTTAACGCGTTCGAAAGCATTGACTAGCGGCACTGATGCTTTGAAACGCGCTCTTCTGCCTGTTGACGGACAAGTGGGAATCGAGAAGCGTAGCAAAGCGGCGCGGCGCTGCGCTGCGATTTGAAAAAAACAAAGTTTGTTTTGCATTTATTGCATTTTGCATTTATTTATTTCTTTATTATTTAAATCTTTTGAGTTAGAGAATTATATATTATAATATGGACGGGGAAAAAATTGAAAAATTAATTTTACTCGTAAATGAGTATGAAGAACTGTACGATATGTCAAATAAAAATTACAGCAACCAAAATAGACGGGAGATTATTTGGGGAGAAATAGTAGAAAATGTAGAATCATTCTTGGGCGTGTATGTAAACATTATTAATGTCACTAAACTAACAACTATTTGATACTGCTAGTAGCAGCCTGCTACCTATAAAAGAATGCTCCTTACAAAATGCTGCGCGCCGCGCTGCTTGATGCTGCCTAGATGAGAATCGCTATAGCAGAATGTTGCGCCGCGCTGCGCTGCCCTGCTCCGCGCCGCTCTGCTCTGCCCTGCTTAGATGAGAATCGGCCTTTAAAAATTTTCTGCATTGTACCGCGACGCTCGGCTCTGCGCCGCTATGCCTAGGTGAGGACGGGACCACTTAATTACATGTAAACAATTGAGAGCAGCATTTTGCCGCGCTGCCCTGCTCCGCGCCGCTCTGCTCTGCCCTGCTTAGATGAGAATCGGCCTTTATTCACCATTGGACAACATTTACGTTCACAAAAAATTTTAATTTCTTTTATATATTCTTTTCAAAGCGAAGATTATTATCCGCTGGGAATACTTTCTCCTCTGGGCCGTAAAGCAACCTATATTTAACTACTTTTTTTATATGGCGACCTTAGAAATCAAAATATTGATTTGAAATTTCCAGAATTTTTATTATAAATCGAGCTTATTCTTTGACAGGGCTCTTACAGCATGATAAACTAACATATTTTTACAAGAGACGAGAAAAAAAATATTCTTTTTTTTGGGCCACCCTATATATATATATATATATATATATATATATATATGCAAGTAAAGGGAACAAGTAAATAAAAATGAAAATTTTAATCAAAATCACTTTAAAAAAGTAAATAAATTTATTTATTAATATCACAAACGTAAAATAAAAAATCTTAATGTAAATAAAAAAGCAGATGATCAATTAATCAAGTGATTTTAAAAATACTAAACTAAATAATCACAAAATCCTAAAGCAAATAAAAATCTTAAAGTAAATAAAAATGCACAGGTTCATAATTTAAATTATTGTGAAATCCCAAGAAAAATAATCAATTATGATGGGAAAATGCTTGTTATAATTTAATCTTTATATTTTTCACACTTACCTGAAATCCTTCAGAACCTCGTAATTAGTGGAAAAAATCACATTCACAATGCGCAAAATTAAAATCTAAAATTAAGGGAATTTGCTAAAAGATTGTCCATTCTTCTTAACCTGACATAAACAATATTAATTTTATTAAAATAATATTGTTTACAATCATTACAATAATATTTATTAAACCTTACCTTCACTGGCAAATCTTCAAACTTTTTGCTTTTGACATAAAATATCCGCGCACTTGCGCAAAGCCGCTTTCCAATTATAATTACTACTATTAAAAGTACTACCACTAATTTTTTGGTTGTGAACAACACTGTGTATATTCATAAGACAAACTTTTACGTTAATTGAAACCACTAATTTATTCCACTAATTACGAGGTTCTGAATGAGGCTTAACTTTTATCAACTTATACCTATAGGTATAAGTTGATATAACTATAATAACACGTGGACACAACAAACACAATAAAAAAATAAATACAATACAAACAAAACCTGATTGCAGTTAATGCATGTCATTTTAATTGAACTTACCTAGTGAAACAATGCAAATTGCAATTTTACGTTATTTCATTATTTTTGTAATTATAAGGTGAATAAAAACGAAATCTACTGTTTTTTTGAGAGAATCTGGCTTCACTGCCGATAAGCACAGTTTAAGACAAAGTTCTTTGGTTTAAGAGATCATTGATCACGTCGTGCGCTCATCGCATGTGTGAAATCGACCATGGCGTGAGAACGCACACGTGTGCGTTCTCACGCCATGCGACCTACGTGCGACGCACGATTGCTATCTGTTCCAAAGTCTTTTCTTTGGTCTGTAACCTTTATAATCTGTGGTCTGTTCTATCTCGTTTCGCGCATACTAAAAATCACTGCAACACTCATAGAGAAACACTATAGTACAGTCTGTGTATACACAGACTGTACTGTACTGTTTATACAGATTAATAATAGCTTTAAACATTTTTTCTTATGAGGCACTTGTAAGCCTCAAATGAGGCCTTAGATTGCTAAGAACAACCATTTTACTCCCCTTTTGCCAAAAATAAACCTTATTCTCTCAGGGGCCCTGAGTCAGGGCTGTCATCAAACTGTCAAATGTCAATTTTAAGGTTATTTTGTGGGTTATGGTAAATTAACCCTAAAATTGAAATTTGACAGTTTACGCTGTGACTAGAGGCACGCTAGCTTGCCGTGATTTGAAATGTTAAAGGCACGTTAGTTACGTCATAATTTTAAGATTTTATGTTACGATAAAACTAAAACAAACCAAGCAACCCAACCCAAAACTTTTTAACAAAGGAACAACAAATTTATAAAATAAAAAAAGTTCGACAACTTCCAGTAGATTTTATGTTACGATAAAACTAAAACAAAACAACCAACCCAACACTTTTTAACAAAGAAACAACAAATTTATGAAATAAAAAAAACTTCAACAAACTGATCAGTACTCGAGTATCGAACCCGGTACCTCTCGCATGCTAAGCGACCGCCCTACCATATGAGCTATCTAGCTTGACATCAATTTTAAAACGCTGGGGGAACAAAAACCGATTATTATTATGACTTAACTAACGTGCCTTTAACATTTCGAATCGCGGCACGTTAGCGTGCCTCTAGTCACAGCGATTTTTTTACAAAAGAGGAGTAAAATGGTTGTTCTTAGCGCTTTAAGGCCTCATTTAAGGCTTACAAGTGCCTCTGTAAGAAACAAAACATTTAAAACTATTTTTAAATTGTATAAACAGCAGGGACCCGGACCCAAATGAAATAATTAATCATATAATTCATTTTAACGGTTCCTGTCCGATTCCGGTTCCGAGAGAAACGACAAATTTCGGTTCGGGTTCAGTTACGGTTCCAAAAAACATATTTCTGTCCGGTTCGGACCATACGGTTTTTTTTTCGGTTCCAATTTTTTTACCATTTTTTCTTTTTTTTTACTTTTATTCTCGATCGGCTTTATCTTTTTCTTCCGATCTTGCGATTGAAAAACTGGAAAATTCATATTTAAAATAAGTTTTTCTCCAAAAATTCTGTTGGTTCTCTGTGAGTCCCCACTGAACATTATGGATGTGGTGATGTAACAGTGACGTTTAAAAATTGTCAATTTTAAGGCACATTAACTACGTTTTTTAGTGACGTTCAATTTACGTAAAAATTACGCTAAAAAATAAAAGGTGCTGTCGAGCACGTCACTATACCGTCCAGTCTATGCCTTTTATTTTACTTTAGCGTATTAGGTGCAAAACACAACGTACATTTTACGTCACCAATGTGACACGTGATAAATATGAATGGGGTAGGTTTGCCAATGATGAACATTAAAATATATGCCACATTTACATTTTTGTTGGAAATTTAAGTGTATACTTAGATAATTAAATACCGAATTTAATTCATAATTTTAGATTAAACTTACTTAGAAACCAATGTAAGTTACAA